CTGCCCCCCCCCCCCCCCCTTCCCCCCACCAAACACTGGCTTCATGCTCTGATGAAAACTCACTTTAGAATTCTAAGCTCTGTTCTCAATGCAACAAAAATGGCAGTCTTGGATTTCTAGTGTTAAGTGTGTGTGTGTTCTTTATGCTTTTGTTTTCTCTCTTTATCTTCATGGCAGAAAACTGGCTCTTATTGTTTCTTTCTTTTTAGTTTTGAACTATATAGACTGCATGCCTTTTTCTTTATCATCATCACCTCCCTTTTGTTTATGGTTTTAAAATTGGTATGCCACATGCAAGTTGATTGGAACATTCTAAAGGTGGAGTGTTATGATAGATGTTTTAATTATATATATATATATATATATATATATATTGCAATTCATGAGATTTGGTGGGGTATCCTACATTGGTACAAGGTATACATACCTCATCTTTTAAGGTTTTATTTTTAGGCTAATTCCTTTGTAGCTCCTACCACCTACATTTAAAATTCTTCAAGTAGCTCAACTCAGTCATTTTTAGTCTGTGAAAAATGAATCATTTTCATCATTCAAGCCGAGTCAATTTTCTTATTGAAATTCAAATTTGTAACCTCCTATTTAAGAAAGCCACAGTCATACCGCTCGACCATCTAGAAAGGCTTTTGCAATTCATCAAGACTACATTAATACACTACTCACAACTCCCAAACCCTCAAAGTGATTCAAGCTAAGCTTATTCCATACTTCATCCAATTACTCTCAAACTTTATTTACAAGTTTTTATCAATGTTCTTATCTTCTACTATAATATATAGTTTATACTAGAATTGTCATATAAACAGAAAACATGGAAACAAAATATAAAACAAAAATGATTATGAAGGAGATTAATTGGAGTTTTGTGGGACCTTGTAGTTTGCTTTTGGACCGTACAGATAAGTTTAATGTTGGTGTACTTATTAGATACACATTGTAATACTAAAGTTAGCTGCCATGCACCTCCTTTACATCTTTGATTGGAATTTAAACAGTTAATTGGATATATTCTCAGATTTCATCATTTTTGTGACTAATAAGCTTCTTGGACTTAACATTTATCTACGAAAGATTCTTCAACTATTCTCTCGATCGAGCTAGAGAATCATTCTATTTCTCTTAGTTTTGTAATCATGATTTCTTAAAACTTGATGATGTATTATAAACTATGGAAAAGGTAATGAACATATATATACTTGTTGGAGATCATTTGTTAGACTAGATCAGACAGTCTAAGTTGCAGGATCTTCTTTAATTTTCACCTTTTTCTGCAATTTTATATGGTTCAAGAAGCTTTAAGCTTGTGTTTATGGCTACATTCTCTTTGCAGTGCCCCACCATTGTCTCCATCTCAGAATAATCCTTCAATTCCTAGCTCATAGATATATATAATGTTCCATATAATCCTTCAATACCTTTAATTTGCCATCTCCCTATCGACGAGAAACTCTCCCGTTGTTGTTGGTCTATTCACAAAGTTTATAATCATTGTTGAGATAAATCAGAACAAAAATAAAAAATAAATGGCCGAAAGTGAACAAGATTTAGGTAATTCGGCAATGTCCATAAAATGTTCTTTTATTAATTATGATGGTAGAGCATCCAAGTCAAGCATCATATTTATATGCAACCCTAAGTATGGTACGTTACAAAATGTCAAAATTATTGTATCCATCAATCGTACGACGTGGGTGCTGCGTCGGCCACCCTGACCCACTCTGCATTACGTAACAAACTAGGTAAAACGTAACCTGAATAACCGTTAAACTTCGCTATGTGAACTTCAATTCACTACGCTCCCGTCACTCCGTTCCGTCCAATACCCATCATTCTCCACCATCATTAAGTTTGGAACCCTGAACAAATTGTCCGTGATAAGCCTGAGGAAGGTGAGGATAAGTCATCATGTCCCTTGGGCGACACACATGTTACAATGGACAGGACAAAGGGTCGGAGAGTGAGCTAACCTCAAAAACTCGTCCTTATTAGTTCGGATTGCATGCTGCAACTCGTCTGCATGAAGCCGAAATTGCTAATAAGTGTTGGTCATCAGTCACTCCGTTCTGTCATTTCCTACTATCATTAAGTTTGGAACCCGGAATAGACGGCCGATGATAACCTAGAGGAAGGTGAGGATAAGTCATCTTGCCCCTTGGGCGACACATGTGCTAGCCGAAATTGCTAATAAGTGTTGGTCATCAGTCACTCCGTTATGTCATTTCCTACTATCATTAAGTTTGGAACCCTGAACAGACGGCCGATGATAACCCAGAGGAAGGTGAGGATAAGTCATCTTGCCCCTTGGGCGACACATGTGCTAGCCGAAATTGCTAATAAGTGTTGGTCATCAGTCACTCCGTTATGTCATTTCCTACTATCATTAAGTTTGGAACCCTGAACAGACGGCCGATGATAACCCAGAGGAAGGTGAGGATAAGTCATCTTGCCCCTCGGGCGACACATGTGCTACAGTAAGTCATCATGCTTGGGCGACACATGTGCTACAGCGACCGAGACAAAGGGTCGGAGAGCCAGAGGAAGGTGAGGATAAGTCATCATGTCCCTTGGGCAACACATGTGCTACAATGGCCGGGACAAAGGGTCGGAGAGCCAGAGGAAGGTGAGGATAAGTCATCATACCCCTTGGGCGACACATGTACGTGCTACAATGGTCGGGACAAAGGGTCGGAGAGCGAGCTAACCCCAAAAACCCGTCCTTAGTTCGGATTGCATGCTTCAACTCGATAAAATGTATTAAAACATTGCACTACAGTGCATGCATCTATTAGGATTTGAACGCGAGACCTCCTATTTGAGAGAGCCACAATTATGCCACTTGACCATAAGGTCTTTGGCATAAGAATTCTTCCTTAGATGAGAACTAAGAATACATCTGGATTGTCCATTCTTGACATTTTAACGATTGTGATCTTTTCTTCCACTTTCCTTTTTTTTTTTTTTTTTTTTTTTTCATATCATTAATTAGCATGAGTTTTATTGTAAATATGAATGCTTTTAAAATCTTTTTAATATTTTATGCATATATCTTCTTTGGTTATAGTGTTTTAATTATGGTAAGATTGCATTTTTATCTTCTAGCTTCTATACAATTATTTGTGGTGGTTTTCGACAGAAGTTTCAAGCAATGGAGTCAGTAGGTGTAGGCACGTTTTTTGTGTGTTTTTTTTACGTCGTTTGAGTATGGTGTTCTGGGGTGGCGGGTGTAGAGGGTCGTTGTGTGCACTAGTGGGTTTTGTTTTGTGTGTTTTAGCTAAGTATGCTTTGTCGTTTTGTGAACTGGTACGTTCGTGGTTCAGGGGAGTGTTGGGCAATTGGTGTGGTGTGGGACGGGATGTGTGTTCTCGGAGCTGATGGTTAGTGTGCATTTGTATGGGTTGTTATGTGTTGTGTGCATTCTATTGTTTTGTGGTTTCGGTGGAGTTTCGGTGCATTTTCAGTGACAAAAAATTGAAAAACCAATATATAATGCACAAAAACAACCACGTGAGTGCACAAAAGTGCAAATAGTCTATATGTACACAACACAAGTGCACACACTGGTAAATAGTGTGTATTCGTCCGAAGCATACCAAAGTGCATACGATAGAGTATAAAAATGCATCAAAATTCACAATGCACTGTGAACTCCTGATTTATGATTTCATGATATAAGGATAGTAGAATTGCTCTTGGGCTAACCTCATATAGGCCGACCAATAACTTTGACAATAGTTATGCTGTGCAACCGAATGTACCATGCGCATGGTGCATACGGTTCAAAACGACGTCGTTTTGATTAAAAACGCGCGTCCCACTTTAAAAAAAAAAATCAGGTTCGACTCTCAGTAATAGCATTATTGTGGATATATAGTTATGAAATTGTGGATATATAGTTATGAAATTATGGTTATATAGTTATGAATTTATGGATATTTAGTTCATTCATTGTGGATATTTAGTTCAATCATATATTGTGGATATTTAGTTCATTCATTGTGGATTTTTAATTCATTCATTCATTCATTGTGGATTTTTACTTCATTCATTCATTCATTGTGGATTTTTACTTCATTCATTACTGTGGATATATAGTTATGAAATTCTGGATATATAGTTATGAAATTGTGGTTATATAGTTATGAATTTATGGATATTTAGTTCATTCATTGTGGATATTTAGTTCAATCATATATTGTGGATATTTAGTTCATTCATTGTGGATTTTTACTTCATTCATTCATTCATTGTGGATTTTTACTTCATTCATTCATTCATTGTGGATTTTTAATTCATTCATTCACTGTGGATATATAGTTATGAAATTCTGGATATATAGTTATGAAATTGTGATTATATAGTTATGAATTTCTGGATATATAAAAATGCTATTGCCGGGAATCGAACCTGATTTCTCCTTTAAGTGGGACGCGCGTTTTTTTAACCAAAACGGCGCCGTTTTGCAACCGTATGCACCTTGCAAGGTGCATTCGGTTGCACAGCATAATTTGCGTAACTTTGAGATGCAGAATTGTCATTGAAATATTATCTCATCGTGTACACAAATTTTATATTAAGTTTTTCAAAATCGTTATATAAATACGGTGACTTCTTACTCTATTTTATAATAATTGATTAATTCCCGCTACACATGTTCCGATTAATTTAAAAATAGATGTGATTTTGCACCAGAAATTTCATTCTTCAAAATATAACAGTTATCATTTTCCTTAGCGATATTACAAATTTCATTTTGACTATCACTTTCAATCATTCATTCTCACCAGAAAACTTATACACGAAATCCTCACCCTCTCAATCACACATTCTCATGGAAAGCTAATACACGAAAACTTATACACAAAATGTATACACAGCAATCCTAAAAAGCACGTCACCAAATACTTTTCTACCTTACGCCCCCTGGAAAATCCAAAATAAAAAATAAAAAACGTTAACCCCTTAACTAATTATCGATCAACACATCAAAAAAGAACATTCCGTATTGATAGTGTATATAATGACACTCAATATGGAAATGAATTCACAGAAGTAAACATTATACAGTAACACTATTTGAATACACAGGCCAATTATCCATTTATCCTCAACAGTCACAGCATGCTTCTCCCTACATTCTGCTGTCTATACTATCTACAACAACTTAGTTTTGTGTCCATAAAATAAGCCCTTTTGCACGGATGGCTTCGACTGAATCGGGCAGGCAAAAAAGGGCGGGGGTGAATGGGTGATGTCCAGTCCAATTGGATCGTGTCCTCCTTGGGATCGCGTTTAGTCTCTCCTATTGAAGGAGGAGATAAGCTATGAGTACCTAGAAACGCGTTTAACTATATACTTTCCTTTCTCCAGATCATACACAGTCTTCAACTGAGGATTTCTCCACTTCCTTACATACAATGTCACAAAAATCAACAAAATGGAAATGCCAAGCACGAGTATTGAAATAGACAAGTCATCACCGAACATGAATGCAAACCACTTGGAGGACTCTTCATCCAGATCGGAGTTACTCTGCAAGATGAATGCTCCTAGTGCCCAGTCAAGGGGGATGTTGTTCGCTTGATTAGCGTATCCAATCCTGCTCAATGTCGCGTTTCAATTAGAATGTGATGGTATATGTGGAAACTAGATCACAGTTTGATTACTTTTTGAGTATTATACTGGAAATGGATCTTTTGCTTTTATATGACTATACGAGTAGTAGTACCTTTCATCATCTAAAGCAATTCCAAGACTGTCGTGAAGTAAGGCCACGATATACGCTGAGGAGAAGCAATAATGAAGCATATCCTCCTCTGCTAGTGAGTGGTATTCCGTCCTCAACTTTGACCAATCTTCTTCACAAAATCTTTTCCCAGCAACCATCATTTCAGAAAGAAATGCCTTTGGGGACAATCCAAAGAACTGTTCAGAATAGAGAAGAAAATGGCATTAAAATCGGTCTTAGGGAATGGAGCAAGGTTTAAAACACGAAAAACATGATGAAATACTTCTGTTCATCAATGTGCACTAGTATAGTCAAACAGGAAAGAATTAATTGCAACCTTAGAAGTATGGAAGAAATTTTCAGTAGCCAAAAATCTTCCCTGTAGCTTTGGTATAAATGCTGAACCAACATCGCAACTTTTATGTGGGCACTTTTCTGCATGTCACAATAACAAAAGCATCATCCATTTGCATTAAAGCAACATGATGGTCAATTCTGAGAGGCAAATAAAACAATTGAAATTGAATGCTTTTTTACATAAAAGAAAACAGAAGCATACCTTTGCCTTTCTGCAACAACAACAGCGAAGCAGATCGGCACTCAGTGAAGTTACCAATGGGATTCAGTGTTGATAGATATCTACTCTTTTCAGCAGAATAACTAGGGGAAAATAACCATGGTTCTGTTTCACGTGCATACCCTCTAGGGGTGCAAGGATCCATTGCTTTAGCACTTTGAAGGGAGTCAATAGCTGCATTAGTGGTGAGATAAAGTAAAAACCTTAAGAATATGCATCATTTTTTTTATGGAGTCTTTACAAGCTTAAGCCACAAGCCGACAATCAATTGGTTAGAAAATAGCATTCATGAATTAAAAGTTATCTAGGAACCTTTCTCAATAGCTAACCCTGAAATTTGACTATATCATCTAAGTGTAATACTGCAATCCATCAAAAAGAGAGAGAGAGTGTATATGTATGTGAGAGAGAGAGAGAGAGAGTCCACCCTCAACTGCTAAATTATCATGCATCAAGAAAAGAATGTTATCCCTGAAATACAAAAGCTGACATCATTGAGGCTATGAAACTGAAACTCCGTGTGGATTGAAAATCATCTTATAGAAAAGCTTTTAAAAGAAAACTATGAATTTTGAACATTATTATGTGTGCTTGTACATGTACAAGCAAGCCAAAACCTTTGATCATTTAGATTTTCACGGAGGCCCATTGCGAGCAAACAATTGTTTCCTTAGTTCCAGACAAGAAATGGTATCCAGAACTCCAAATTCTAGCAAAGCATAAATTAGCACTTTTGAGGAAAAGAAAGAGCATACACACTTCACAACTACACTTAACTGGTTCTATATTTATTTATTTTCCTTTATTACAGAAAAACAACTGATAAAAATACAAAATCCTACAGTCACTTGCAATATTCAAAAGTTATCCCCTGACAAAGACACAAAATTACCAACAAAAAAGCATTTCACTTACCTAGATCATTCCCTCTTGCAGTTAGGGACTCCCGCAATGAGTCAAATGCAACATTCTGCAATACTTCCCAAGCCATAGATTAGTATATGTCTCATGCAAAGTGTTCATAAGGTTCCACATTTCCACCTCCACTCATTAAACAATTTATCAGAAGTAAAATAACTCAGAATAGAAAACAACATAAAAGAAATACATACTAATTTCAAAAGAACTCATCTATACTTTTCACGTTTGACTATTCTATGTTTTTCTGGACAATCCGAAATCGCTTAGCCTCCTCCAGAAAACAATTATTGAACAAAAAAAGGCATAACAATATAATATTTTAAATCAATAGGCAATTCTGCAACCTCAACAACTAAGTGAGGTACGTGACAGCTATCTTCACAGTTCTTGCCGAGAGAAAGGCCAAGCAATGAATATAGATGAGCTAGCACTAGACACATCATACAGGTACAATAGACAATGAATATATGAGCTACAAGCAATCACTACCATTTCAGCACGGGCAATACCTGACCAAAATGAAGTAAGCTGTGACTGTAAAGGCTGTAAGTATGATTCCCAAACTTAATTTTAGTTGAGTATTCCGGGGGAAAAGGCTCGCTAGAAACAAAGGTAACCTGAAAATTCATAACAGTAGATCATAATAAATTAACAGTCGTAATCCAATGCTAGTATCCACTATATCAGAATTGATGATACTCACTCTCATAGTCTCATACAAACAGAAGGGGTAAAGTATGGTGATACATGGTTCAAGTGTAACATGCTCAATGTAAACATTAGGATGTATGAATTATAAGAAAATCTTATTGAAAGGCCACTGGGCTTGCTATGCTTATGATGATATCTAGGGAGCAATGATGTAAAATATCCACACACACACACACAAAAAGACTATGATTGAAAAAATGGATGTATGAATACAAGAAAGGCCCATATTACAAATGACTTCATTTGAAGGAAGATATAAGCAATGCAATTTAAGATACTTGATAAAAAAAATCAATTGGGATAGTCTGAACATATTCAATACACAGCCTTTGGATGCAACAATTACAATGAGTGATCGCATGGTAGTAACGGCAGATAGGAGTGAAGAGGTAGACCATTATTTGAACTTAAGTTTTGAAGAAAGATAAGAAAACTCAATGGATCATGGTGGATTTAGTGCTTATTTGGGTTGAATGAGATATAATCCATGTAGTCAACCACAGATTGGAATTAGGGTATGCTTGAGTTGAGTTGGTTGACATGTAACATAACTAGTGCAAGTTAGATACCCTCGTGCTTTTATTTTAGCATTTGGCAAATGAATGCAAATATTGCCCCTGATATGTTGATAACAAGGGACATAAAGATATATGAAAAATAAGGGAGAAGCACAACTAACTAGAATTTCATCATACAATTTGTCTCTTTGACAGAAAATGGTCAAGAGGGAGATAAATTGTGACTTGAGGTCCTGGGTTCCACTCTCATAGTAACATAATTATAACTCTTGTACATATAACCTATCCAAACCTCCTAACAAGGGGTTAGATGCACACTCTGTACATGTTTGTAATCACACAAAAACACATTCATACTTGAAAGAACAAAACTTAAAAAGCTGAAATTTAAACCTGAGCTGACGCGCCACCAAGTTCAATAATTCCTGTTGTTTGCTGAGGATTGCCACCAAGAGTTCCAAGGGCATAATTAGCAACAACCCAAGCATATGCCCCTTCATCAGAGCCTAAACCAAGAAATGCATTGTTAAACTTAAGTAATTTAAATCAAAGACTAAACCTGTAATGAAAACACTGATGCAGGAAACTTCTAATTTCAAGGCATAGCTTGCAAAAATATAGAAATACTTAGGCAGTTATTTACAATGGAGCTGATATGCCATCATAGATTCTGGTAATTTGTTTACTCAGATAAAAGCCATGCCAATTGATGTAAATATGTAATGATCAAACTTTTGCAAGCCATTTTTCATATACCTGATATAACAGAAGCCCAATCATCCCGGAATATAAAACCAGAATCCCTCAAGACCTTCCGGCATACATTCAGAATCCTGTCCTGCACCTCAGACTCCAATAACCTCATCCCTGCAGTAGCCATGAGCCGAATTTTTGTTCTGCCCCAAAATTTCCTCGGCACCTTCTTCTTCGCAAACTCCACCAATTCAGCAATCGCCGGTGCCGCCATCTCCGGCTCCTCCGCATACGCCGAAAGCCCCGGATTCACCTTCATCGAATGTAAACCTTTTTCCCCAAAATCAAACAACGGCTTCCCATTCCTGACCTCGTACTCAAACACGTGTATCCTCGTTCCCGTACTTCCGCCATCGATCACAATCCCGTAATTCGTCTTTACCGCATATCTAGCTCTAATATTTTTAGAGAAAACGAAAATGTAACAAAAAAACGCTAGAAGTAACACAACCGAAACATAGAATATGAGTTTCGATTTCTGGCTGTTCCGGGCAGGGTTCCGGAAAGCGGATCGGGGAGGCCGGAACTGGAGCTTGACGGCATCCATTTCGCGATAGTCGTCCTTTCTCACCTCGTCGGTGCTATTGCTCGCTGTCCGGGCATTCGATCGGCGCATCAAAAAATGAGAATCCTTGACACATATGCGCCAATTCGAGGATCTTCCCTCTCTGCCGTCTCCTAGGTTCACCGGAACGGTGATCGGAGATCGAGGGGGCTATTTTTCAGAAAAAATTCCCCCTCTCCCTGTCAGAACGGTCCCTGTTTTCCGGTCCTCTTTCTGTCTTGGTGTTTTTTAATCACGCCGACGGCGATTCGGAGGTTTATAACACGGTGCGATTTCTCCGGACCAGTCTAGGCGGGTCCGGATTCCGGTGAGCGAATTCGCTGATTTTTTTTTTTCCTTTTTAAAGTCTATTCCTCCAATTATTTGGGGTATATATATAGGGTCTTAAAAATTCTTGTTAGTATAACCCCAACTAAGTTAGTTATTAGCTAACGATAAATGATCAATATTATGATAACCGGAAAAAAAAAGAAGATAAAAGTTTCATATATTTACACATTAACAACATAATTATAATATTATTTAAGGTATAAATTATGACGTCTATGTTAAAGTTATACTGACAAATTTTATTTTTTTTAAAAGTATTTTTTACAAATTATAACAAGCTTGCGAGTCACATAAATCTAATAAGAATATCGTTTAAATTATTTATCATTTGATAAATTCAAATTACTTTTTATTCTTTGATTTGTACTCTTCTAGTACTCTATTTTATCAAAAGTAACCTATTTTTGTCACTAAATTTTAAAATTAGCAACTCAACAAGATCGTATGAGATATTGGCCTATATATTTCGTATAAAGATAAAGCTATAGGGATTAAAATTTTCACCAAAACCTTTCACTATTTGACATGGCAATAAATTTTTTATATTCATTGATTACCGTGAATTGGAATATAAAACTATAAAAGTCAGACTTGCAAGTCACATAAGCTAACAAAATAAAACAAAATAATAATAATAATAATAATAATAATAATAATAATAATAAATTACATTACCTTCCACATCATCTTAAAAGGGTTCAATTGTTGGATGAGGATAGTCTAAGATACTTGGCAAAGTTTGTGTAGTATTTTCTTTAATTATTTACCAATTTTAAATTCAACTTTCCTTATTAAATTGTGAATTTGTGACTTGCCATCATTCTGGTTGGGTCCTAACAATTCTGTAAATATTAAAGTCAAAATGTGGATGGGCAGAAGTTTTGCCTGGGATGATTTTGGAAGGAGATTTCCCAAAAGAATTGGGTGGAGGTTTCCTAAGGGACTTGGGAGGAGGTTTGCCTAAGGAACTTGGGAGGAGGTTTCCTAAAGAACTTGGGTGGAGGTTTCCTAAGGAATTTGGGAGGAGGTTGCCTAAGGGAAAAGCCTGGGATGATTTTGGGAGGAGATTTCAAAGGAATTGGGTGGAGGTTTCCTATGGGACTTGGGAGGAGGTTGCCTAAGGGAAAAGCCTGGGATGATTTTGGGAGGAGATTTCCCAAAGGAATTGGGTAGAGGTTTTCTAAGGGACTTGGGAGGAGGTTTGCCTAAGGGACTTGGGAGGAGGTTTCCTAAGGAACTTGGGTGGAGGTTTCCTAAGGGACTTGGGAGGAGGTTGCCTAAGGGAAAAGCATGGGGCTAGATTTGCTTTGGGAAAATTTGCAGGAGAAGTTTTTCTTGCATGGCAAGTTCTAGGCATTTAATATTATATTAAATACTTAAGAATTCTCTAGACCTTTTTGGTATTATAAATAGGCAGCATCCTTCATTCATTTGTATTATCCCATCCGAAAATTTCCAGTAGCATAGCAAATTCTGTAGAGAGAAAATAGAGAGTTATATTTGTAATTCCTATTGTTTTATCCTTTTGCCAATATAGAAAAAATTCTTCTTCAATTTTTCTTTGCTGTGTATGATTTATTTTAAATCATACGCTAGAATTTATTCTTAATATTTCCGGTTTAAGTTGCTATTGTAAATTTGGTGTTGTGTACTCGTTTCGATCCTAACAAATTCACCATATAAATAATGCATAATTGGCTTTCTTTCATGTTTAGTGCGATATTTGAACTATTACACCTGAACGGAATTTACTTAGTGTATACCTTCAATTATTAATAATGTCTGCGAGTTCTTCTCATCACAAAAAAAAAAAAAAAAAGGATATAATCAATATTATTTTATAATTAGTTATGACTTATTTTTATTCACATGTATTGGCCTCCTCTACTCAAATGTGGAGTTGATTAACTCTCTTATTGAATTACTTTTGAGATAACCATATTTTTTGATTAATTGTCCTTTTAAAGTTCTTCGTAGTAAATATTATCCAACCAAATAATAATAATAATAATAATAATAATAATAACTCCACTAAAAATGGAATGTACAAAAAACAAATGAAGTAAAGATATTGTTTGGTTCAAAAAATAATATAGATGAACAATATTCTATTGATTAAGCATATTCATAATAAGGCAAACTCATGTATAGACTGGATGATAATTTAAATCATAATTTTTTTCCTTATTAATTTGCAATTTTAAAGTAAAATACATGAAATTGTTAATTTTATTGATATCATTTTTCGATCAGTAGGAGAGTTCAACCTATGACACATATTAACTTCGATCCTCAGCTAACCAACGAGGTCTCAGGACTCCATCCCTATCCTCCATTAGCACACGACACTAGTACAGAAACAGTCATTCGCGTCCAAAGTAAAGCCTCATTCGCGTCCATAGTAGCTGGGACGCTGATGTCGGGGACGTGAATTGTATATACAATTCGCGTCCAAAGCTACTTTGGACGCGAAAAATGATAAATCGCGTCCAAAGCTACTTTGGACGCGAAAAATGATAAATCGCGTCCAAAGTTGAAGAACTTTGGACGCGATTTATCCGATCTGACTGTTGACTACTGACTTTGCGCGTCCAAAGTTGGTCAACTTTGGACGCGCAAAGTCAGTAAATCGCGTCCAAAGTTCTTCGACTTTGGACGCGATTTATCATTTTGTTTTAATAAGATGATAATTCGCGTCCAAAGTTGAAGAACTTTGGACGTGAATTATTGTTTTTTTTTTAATTTTAATTTATTAATAAATCCAGTTTTTTTCCTGTACAAAAAATTATATTTTTCATCCTGTACATGCAGTCACAACCACTACCACTTCAAAGCTTTCAACTAAAGTTCAATACATCATCAATACGCCAACACTTTAACACTAAATAATTAAACTACACTACTTCAACACATGTGTAATAAGCTAGATAAGTACACTACTTCAACTAAGTTCAATACATCATCAATACGCCAACACTTTAACACTAAATAATTAAACTACACTACTTCAACACATATGTAATAAGCTAGATAAGTACACTACTTCAACACATATGTAATAAGCTAGATAAGTACCAACAATACATCATTATTACAACTAACTTATATAATTGTATGAACTCCAAAAATTTATATACATTCTTGAGTAAAATATTTAGACCAAATCTCACGAACCTCATCAATTTGCGCTTCTGAATAAGGCTTTCTATTAAAGAATAATTCCTACAAAAATTTAAAAAATCAAATAATTAATTTTAACATTACTAAAGTGTAATTTAATACTATTTACTTTTAATAAATTTTACATACCATATCCAAATCATCAGAATCCCAACATTGAGTGCATATTTCATACATGAATCTCATCACATAATACCCGCACTCCACACCACCCGGTTGTTGAGGACACTAGAAAATATGTATATATATTAATATGTTAAACAATAAAAATATTAATATGAAATATGAAAGATATATATACCTCAATGTGAACCCAATCAACGTTGTTTTTAGGTCTTCTCCCTCCTAAAGTTTCAACCGATCAAAACGCTCTATAATATACAATCATAAATAATTTATAAACAATAATGGTTAATAATTCTCAAAATATAATATATATAAATATATATATATATATATATATATGTGTGTGTGTGTGTGTGTGTGTGTGTGTGTGTGTGTGTGTGTGTGTGTGTGTGTGTGTGTGTGTGTGTGTGTGTGTGTGTGTGTGTACTTACACATTCAATGTGGCCTTAATCTCAAACTCGCGATCACTTGATGCAATGGAGTCTAATACATAGACTTTTCTTAATGGAACAGAAATAACTAGAAGCATCCAATGATTTCTAAGGCATTTAAATGAATATGTTAAGTGTTATTCACAAATAATGCAATTAAGTTAAATAAATAATTAAAAATATAAATATAGTTTTCTTACTTTTCATGGTATGGAGCTAAAATGAAGTGTCGATTCGTCTGTTCAACCATGGCATTCACAAGATATTTTGTGACCTTATCAATATCCGCAAGTGATGTCAGTTGGTGGTGTATTAATCACTTCTCAAGTCGTTCTTCAACGCCTCACCAATTTTTCTAAATTGTTAGCTACCATATTTTGCTCTCTGTAAACGTGTATGTAATCTCCCCCTGCACTCCCTAACAATGTTGCTCTTTGTCCATATCATTGGCAATTTGGCATTGCTTGAACAAGACTTGTATGTTTAAACCACTTGTTTCTCTTTCATCTCTCTTTCCTTTCTCATGTATTTAAAAAAAAAAAAATACATGATCAACAGATTGTGGTATGACTAAATTGTCATATTACTAACACTACACGAAAAATTAAATTTATCAATAAAAAATATATCAATAAATTACTGAAATTTATAGGTATTAATTTATCAACAGATTTTCGTTCGTAAAATATTGAACCTTATAGATGGTAGTTTATATCCCGACCGACATAAGGTGGCTCTTCTCGTAGTTTGTAAAAGATCCTTGGGTCGAGCATTGTTGTGACAAGGCGGTCGGACCCGACCGGTAGACTTCCCGACCAGTGTTATCACCCGAAGAGATAGGGATGTTGGAGAGAGGCACGTGGCAATGTTAAACGTTGACAGAGAAGGTTCACCGGGTGGAGACGCGTGGAGGTTACGTGGATTACATGCCGGTGGGCCTGAGGTTTGTCTCCGGCCAAAGGCTATAAATATCCACGGCGGCTACAGTGAGGAGGACTTTTGGAACGATCAATAGGCTATTTATAGAGTTGCCCGACCGCAGTCAGTCGGCAATCGACCCTTTATTACTACTACTTGTTCTCATTCAGTACCTAGACCGCTAACACGTGGATATTACTACTATCATTTTGGCGCGGTCCATGGGGACCGGTACGAAAAGTCATTGTAGACGCGTATCTGACCTCAATCATCATGTATCCGTTTATGTATCAAGCAGCGGAGGACGAAGAAGCTAGCTCTTCCGACCACAACTATACACAGCATCCGGGTCAGACAGT